GTTCCAGATATAAGGAAGGCTGAGGCGGAAGGATCGCTGGAGCCCAGCAGGTCGAGGCTGCGGTGGCCAGGAGCGTGCCACTGCACTCCAGTCTGGGTGACAGAGACTCCAACTCAAAAAAAAAGAAAGAAAAGAAAAAAAAAAAGAAAGAAACAGCTCTTTGAGTAATGGTAAAAAAAGAGAAAAGTGGGAGGCTGAGGTGAGAGGATTGCCTGAGCCCGCGGGTTCGAGACCCGCCTGGGCAACTTGGCGAGACCTCATCTCTACAATAAATCAAAAAATTAGTTGGGCGTGGTAGTGCGCGCCTATAGTTCCAGCTGGAAGGCTGAGGCGGAAGGATCGCTGGAGCCCAGCAGGTGGAGGCTGCAGTGGCCGGGAGGGGCCACTGCACTCCAGTCTGAGCGACAGAGTGAGACTCCAACTCAAAAAAAAAAAAAAAGAGAAAAGAATCAAGCATTTATTATGTTTTTTTCTGTGTGAACTACTCCTCAATATATCCAAATGACTGATGAAGGGAAGTTTCTTTGTAAGGAAATATCCTAGTTAATCAATGAAAAAAATTGTAAAATTCAATTACCACAATTTTAGTAATAACAGACCTAGGCAATCATCATTAATAGCTGTTAACATCACCAAAAGTTAACCACATACTATGCAACCTAATAGAAGTACACAACACTACCTATAAAGTATTCTTGCCAGAACAATTAAATCTGAATCTGATCAAGTCTCTAGATCTAACTACCCATTTATAGGAAATATTGGAAACAGGAGAACATGTCGAACAACAACACAGAGGTGCAATCTAAATATAGGAAACTCCACAGGTCAAACTGAGTGGTTTATTTAACAATAAATTTCAAGGAAAAGAGAGAGGGAGAAGGCCCTATAGACTTAAAACAGTTAATACACAAGCCAGGCTCGGTGGCTCAGCCTGTAATCCCGTGCCTTTGGGAGGCTGAGGTGAGTGGATTGCCTGAGACCGTGGGTTCGAGACCCGCCTGGGCAGCGAGACCTCATCTCTACGATAAATAAAAAAAATCAGCCGGGCATGGTAGCACATGCCTGTAATTCTGGCTACTTGGAAGGTTGAGGCAGAAGGATCGCTGGAGCCCAGCAGGTCGAGGCTGCGGTGACCGGGAACGGCCACTGCACTCCAGTCTGGGCGACAGAGTGAGACTCCAACTCAAAAAAAAAAAAAAAAGTTAATACACACGAGGCTTATAATATAAAAATATATCTCTCAACAACTGCAATATCCAGACTTTGGATGCTGACTCAAACAAAAACTAAAAATATGTTTAAAACAATTACAATAAAGTGCCATGTAAAAATATATGTATCAAAAAAATCTAAACACTGACTACATATTATTTAGGCATGGTAATAATATTGAGTTTTTTGTTTTTTGGTTTTTTTTGGCTAGACTGTATCTTTTAGAAATGCAAAAATCTTTTGATATATTTGTGGGCTGGGTGTGGTGTCTTATTCCTATAATTCCAGCACTTTGGGAGGCTAAGTCAGGAAGACTGCTTGAGTCCAGGAGTTTGAGACCAGCCTGGGCAACATAGCAAGATCTCATTTCTACAAAAATCAACAAATTAGCCAGGAATGGTGGCACACGCCTATAGGTCCCTACTACTCAGGAGGCTGAGGTGGGAGGATTGCCTGAGCCCAGGAGGTTAAGGTTACAGTAAGCTGTGATCATGCCACCACTGTACTCCAGCCTGGGCAGCAGAGTGAGAGAGTCTGATTCAAAAAAAAAAAAAAATAGAAATAAGAAAAATACTTGTGAATGAAATGATATAATAATATGATGTTTGGAATTTTCTTCCAAATAATACCAGGAAGGGGAAAAATAGGTAGAGGTACAAATAAAACAAGATTGGCCATGATTTGATCATATAGGTGGAGCATCCGTAATCTGAAAATCCAAAATGCTCCCAAATCCAAAACTTTTGAGTGCCAACAAGACACCACTAGTGGAAAATTTAACACCTGACCTCATGTCATGAGTCACAAACTCTGTTTCATGAACAAAATTATTTAAAATATTGTATAAAATTACATTCAGGCTATATGTATAAGGAATATGAAATATACTTGAATTTTGTGTTTAGACCTGGGTCCCTTCCCCAAGATATCTCATTATGTATATGCAAATGTACCAAAATCCACAAAGAACCAACATACTTCTGGTTCAAAGCATTTTAGATAAAGGATACTCAACCTTTTGTTGAAGTTAGGTGATGCATTCATTATACCAGTCTTTCTATGTTTGTATAGGTTTGGAAATTTCTAAATAAGATGTTTTTAAAAGCCAAAAGTAAAAATCTAAGGGGAAGGAGTGCGTTAGGAGACTTGATCAATTAATGACCAAGCTGACTCTAGATGCCAGGTCTCCTACCTTCTTTGTGTTCTCAGGGCTCTGAATCAACTTATTAATAAGGGGAAGATATTACCCATCTATAATGTAACAGGGCACAAGGTATCACTCTAGAAGTTTCTCAAAACAGTATTAAATTGATTTGAATGATGGATACAACTATTACTATTACTATTATTATTATTTAGAGACAGGGGCTCACTCTGTTGCCCAGGCTGGAGTACAGTAGTGCAATCTAGCTCACTGCACCATCGATGGGTTCAAGTGATCCTCCTGACTCAGTCTCTCAACAGCTGGGACTACAGGAGCCTGCCATCACACCTGGCTGAATATTTTATTTTTTGTAGAGATGGTGTCTTGCTTTGTTACCCAGGCTGGCCTCAAGCGATCCTTCAACCTCTGCCTCTTAAAGTGCTGGGATTACGTGAGCCATCATGCCTGGCAGAAGGCTTCATACAATTACTAAAATAATAATCAAAGAAAACATGTACTAAGGAATCATTGAGAATTACATACATACTGATGATCTTCCAAATGATCCAAAACAGTAAGATTATTAGTTCTGATTGTGGATGTGTAAGCCAAATTTAGGTAACCCCACAGCTCAAAACTGGCGGCACCCTTCATCACAATTCTATTCTAGGCATTGTGCGGCAGTATTGGCATCGTCATCAAAGGGCAGAACCAGGAACAGGGTGGCAAAAAACTCAACAATCAAGATAAGTAATATCTTAATGCAATTTTTTAAAAAAAGCAAACCAACTATGGCTCATGAGGTCAGCCACCTGCTTCTGTAATCTAGTTTCACTGGAACCAAGGCTAGGATTAGGGTGGGATGAGTGAGGTGGGGTGGTGCAAGCGCAGAGTCGGATCTTGTCTTTATCTAAAAGTTTGATATTTTGTTCAATATCAAATCATACAATTTTTGCATTAATTTTTTTTTTTTTTTTTTAAATCGCATCAAAATGATTTCCATTTGATTACGGAGTTTTTTGGCACCCCTTTAAATTTTGTTCCCAAGGCGAGAGGTAGGTCCTGGGCCCAGAAAGGACACGAGTCTGGAAACAGATGTGTTTTCCTTCCAGATGTGTTTTCTATGCCCAATTTCACCAGTGAGCTGCCAGCACCGGCTAGGAAACTGACTGTTGCCTCCCCACTCGGGTCCTCGTCGGAAAACGCAAAGGGCCAAAGCACGGCGACGTCAAAGGCCTCTTCCAGGTCACATTTCGAACTCAAACACTACCGCCCTCTATTTGCAGAGAATCCGGTTCCGCGTTGGGGCGCTCTAACAGGAGGAGCTTCCGCGTCAGGAAACGCGCCAAAGGGGAGGGTGGACGGCAGGGCCAGGTTGTGGAGGGGCCCGGCAGCCGGCGGCGCGCGCCGCGCAAACCCGGCGCACCACCGCCACCAGGGCGAAGAGCGGGAAGCCGGGCGGCTGGACCGGTCGGGACGGGACGGGAGGCCGGAGCCCACATGCCCGCCGACTCGCAGGGCCGCCGGAGCCCGCGCGGGGAACGCCGGGAGGCGTAGTCCTCCCCGTCCGGGCGCTCCTGCTCTGCCCGGCCCACCACAGCGCCACCGCGCCAGGCCTCGCATCCCCGGTGGGAGCGGGAAGTACGTGCATAAACTCACCGCGGAACCCACTTTGCCTGTCATGATTCCTGCCTCTCCGGCGCCCGGCTTGGAACCAAGAAGTCTCCGGTTCCCTCAGACAGGGAACCTCTCTGCTCCCGCCGTCTCCAGCCCGGCAGCACTGTTCGAGCTTTCGCGCCCAGCCGGAGTGAAGGCTCCACCTCCATGAGTTTCACCAATCCAGAGGAGACTTTTCAGGAAGGCCCCGCCTCTCCATCAGGCCAACCAATCACGAAGCGCCTCTGGTCGCCCTACGAGTATAATTTGGGTCAGGTTGGCGGGTCGCAGCAGCTTCTGTCAGCTGAGCCTGGGCGTGGCAGGAGACTTCCGGGGAGCGAAGCTGTCAGGCCTTTTGGCCTCTCAAGAAGGTACTATGCGAGTGGTGGTCTTTGATCATTGTCACTAACTGTAGCTCGACGGCTAGCATCAAGTGCAATTTGAGTAGTGAGCCCTCCAGAAGGGAAGTGAGCGGGGAGAAGGTTCCTGGCTACCTTGAGATGTCCTGGACCTGAATCCTTTCAGAGGGAGCCCGGGGTCTCCGTGGGGATTTTCTCCACTAACTCCACTTTTGAAGCAGCTAGATCCTGTCCGCCTCTTCTTGTACGTGACCACTGAATATTTTTGAAAAACAAAAGAGGGCCGGACGCGGTGACCCGCGCCTGAAATTCCAGCACTTTTGGAGAAGAGGCAGGAGGATCACTTGACGCCAGGAGTTCAAGACCAGCCCGGGCAACATAGCAAGACCCGTCTCTACCAAAAAAAAAAAAAAAGTCGAAGGGTGAAGCAGCAGGATTGTTTGAGCCCAGGAGGTCCAGGCTGCAGTGAGCTATGATGGCACCACTGCACTGCAGCCTGGGCAGCAGAGTGAGACCCTGTCCCAGAAGAGGGAGAGGGTGGGGGGGGGAGGAAGAGGGAGAGGGAAAGAAAATACATTTTGCAGGTTGCTCAGACACCAAAGAATATCCTTGGGCAATCTTTATAATTTTATTTAGGGTTAACTTGAGGATGCAGAAAGCACCCACAACTCCTAGAGGATTTTCTACCTTTAGACAAGACTGGAAAAATAATAAAAACTCTCGAGTCAGACTTATCCCAGGCAATTCAAATCCAAGTTTTGCCACTGTGCTAGTTAATACCATTTTGCCCCTCTGGGTTGATTCTCTGTTCTTTCTTTGCCCTGATCTCTCTGAACTACATAACCCCAGCTCCCTTGCCTTCTGGCTTCTGGTTGGGTCAGGCTACTGTAAAGGTGCCTTATAAGATTATTGTAAGGGCCAGGCATGGTGGCTTAAACCTGTAATTCCAGCACTCTGGGAGACTGAGGTGAGGATTGCCTGAGCCTAGGGTTCAAGAGCAGCCTGGGCAACTTGACCACACCTCGTCTCTACAATAAATTAAAGTTAGCTGGGCATGGTGACATGCACCTGTATTTCCAGCTACTTGGAAGACTGAGGCAGAAGGATTGCCTGAGCCTAGCAAGTCGAGGCTGTGGTGGCCGTGAACGTGCCACTGCACTCCAACCTGGGCAACAATGAGACTTTGACTAAAAAATATATATATATACTGTAAGGAGGAGATCAGGAAAGAAAGGTCAGCGTATTTACTGCCCATTTTACCCACCATGATTATCGTCCAGTTTTCCCAGGACTTTCCTAGTTTTAGCACTGAAAATCCCACATTCTGAGAACCTCCTCAGTCACCGACATACTAGAATGCCTGGTTGGTCATCCAAACCACTGGCTTCCTCATACAAGTTTCCAGCTTTCACTGGGTTCAAATAAAATTTCCCTCTTCTCATCTTCATTTCTTCATCTCCACACCATCCCTCAACCCACTCCTTTCCCCACCAACAAGATCCCATCACCCATCATTTTCTCCTTTAATGTCTCAGCTTATCCACCTTTTCATCCACTTTACTATTAATTTCTACATTGATGATTCCCAGATACACATCTATAGTACTCCTCTCTCATATTTGGAGGGCTAACATTTATTGAGGGCTCCTTGCAAGAATTTTACAAGCACTGTCTTGTTTAATCTTTGGAGTGCACTTGTAAGATATGTAATATGTCTCTATTTTAGCAGATGTGTGAAAATTGGCTCCACCTTTTAAAAGGCTAGTAACTATTGGAACCAATTTTCACACACTGCTTTGTGTGACTTCAGAGCTCATACCTCTCAAAGAGACTTTGCCTGCACATCCTTTACATTCTCCCTCCTTCTCCTGTTCTGGTTTCCCTGATAACACTTTTTGCCGAAATTTTTTTTTTTTTTAGTTTTTAGTTTATTAAGCTCGTCGTGAAAAATCCAAACAATGGCCACAGATATCGTCACTGCATCATCTTTAGTCCTTTGCCTGTTATCCAGTCTCCAGCTCACTGCTATAGACACTTCATTTCTTTTTTCCAGCACCAACATTGGCCTTTGCAGTCCCCCTGACTTTCTTTATTCTGTTCTTGTGTTCTTTTCGCTGCTTCCTTGAGGTCTTTTTCTTCTCATACAGGCCATGTCTTGCAAGTCTATGTTTGAGTTCATTTTTCTTTTTTTTTTTTTTTCTTTTTGAGTTGGAGTCTCACTCTGTTGCTCAGACTGGAGTGCAGTGACCGCTCCCGGCCACCGCAGCCTCGACCTGCTGGGCTCCGGCGATCCTTCCGCCTCAGCCTTACAAGTAGCCGGAATTACAGGCATGCGCTACCATGCCCAGCTGATTTTTTGATTTATTGTAGAGATGAGGTCTCGCCTGCGCAGGCGGGTCTCGAACCCGCGGGCTCAGGCAATCCACTCACCTCAGCCTCCCAAAGGCGCGGGATTAAAGGCTGAGCCACCGAGCCCGGCTTGGGTTCATTTTTGTTTGCATAATCCAAAGAATCATAAATCATGCCAAAGCCAGTTGTCTTGCCGCCACCAAAATGAGTTCTGAATCCAAATACAAGATGACATCTGGTATTGTCTTGTACATTGTGGCTAGTTTTTCCCGAATTTCTGTCTTAGGTACTGTTATCTTCCTGGGGTGAAGGACATCGATGACCATTTGTTTCTGTTGAAGCAGACGATTGGTCATGAATTTCCTGGTCCGAATAGTTACTGTGTCATTCATGATGGTTGTTGATCCTCAGGCAGTCAGGGAGGACTGAAATTTTATTTATATCTATTTGGGTTTTTTGGGGGGGTTTTTTGTTGTTGTTTTTTTGGGGTTTTTTTTTGAGTTGGAGTCTCACTCTGTCGCCCAGACTGGAGTGCAGTGGCGGCTCCCGGCCACCGCAACCTCGACCTGCTGGGCTCCGGCGATCCTTCCGCCTCAGCCTTCCGAGTAGCCAGAACTACAGGCACGCGCTACCACGCCCGGCTGATTTTTTGATTTATTGTAGAGATGAGGTCTCGCTGCCCAGGCGGGTTTCGAACCCTCGGGCTATATATCTATTTGTTGATTGTTGCTCCAAGAGATATCGCTATATCCTTACTATCTAAAATAGTCATTAGCAATCTGTATTCTCAATTTTGATGCATGGCATCGTAATCCATCACTCACCAGTCCAGAAACCTGGAAGTCTTCTTGATTTCTCTGGCCCTTGCCCCACAAGGTTAGTTGTCCAACAATCCTTGTTTATGAAGTTGATAGACAGCAACAAGGTAAACATCTGAAGTGGTCACTTTACAGGAATTAGCCTGAACTACTCCCATAGATGGCTTTGTGAGTTTAGGTAAATAAATGAGTTTCTTAGAACTTTATTTTTCTTTTTTGTAACTAGAAAACATTGTATCAGATCATGATTCTCAAAAAAAAGGTTTGATTAACAGGACACCTGGAAGTATAGCACTCCATAGGAAGCACTTTGCAGTACTGATGCTCTTAATCTGATGATATAAACTAGGAAACATTTTCACTAGTAGGATCTATTGTTATATCACAAAAGACATTATTAGTAAAGATATTCTGAGATAACAAGTCCATGAAAAAAATAAGCCACGAAACTTAACATACTCAGTCAATTCCAAAGGGTTCTGTTTATATTTGCTCTTTGGCAGTCAAACAAAAGCAGATACCAAGGTTTAAGAAAGTTTGGAGGTGGACTTGGTGGCTCAGCCTGTAATCCCGCGCCTTTGGGAGGCTGAGGTGAGTGGATTGCCTGAGTTTGCGGGTTCGAGACCCGCCTGGGCAACGAAACCTCATCTCTACAATAAATTTAAAAAATCAGCCGGGCGTGGTAGCGCATGCCTGTAATTCCAGCTACCCGGAAGGCTGAGGCGGAAGGATCGCTGGAGCCCAGCAGGTCGAGGCTGCGGTGGCCGGGAGAGAGCCACTGCACTCCAGTCTGGGCGACAGAGTGAGACTCCAAGTCAAAAAAAAAACAAACAAAGTTTAGAAGGAGATAATTGACTAAGTTATGTCTTTTACTTCTTTTTCTGCAAATTGACAAAGCTTACCATTTTACATTTTTGGTGCCTCTATTCTGAAGTAAAGTTTGAGAACCACTTGCTTTTTAAAGTCCTAGGTTGCCAAATTATTTTCATCCCTGGAGAAACACTGCCACCATGTGGCATGTTGTGTTCATGTCAATTCACCTATTGCCTTTAGCCTTTCTATCCTAAAACCATTTGGGGGTAGGGGTCATTTTAAGATTATTTAAGAGTTATTTAAATGTTCCTTTGGTGGGGTGAAATAGCTGCATCTCCCAGCATCTGGTTTCAAGAATAATTTCATACTGTAATTCCATACAGTTACAAAGCTTCTGTTGGAGAATACTCTTTGAAGGCTAGAGCCATTTCTCTTACTTAACATAGTAGCTCCTGACCTTCCTTCCTTCCTTCCTTCCTTCCTTCCTTCCTTCCTATTTTCGAGTTGGAGTCTCACTCTGTCGCCCAGACTGGAGTGCAGTGGCCACTCCCA